CAGTTTACCAGACAACTTTACACAAAGCAGTTTACCAGACAACTTTACACAAAGCAGTTTACCAGACAACTTTACACAAAGCAGTTTACCAGACAACTTTACACAAAGCAGTTTACCAGACAACTTTACACAAAGCAGTTTACCAGACAACATTACACAAAGCAGTTTACCAGACAACTTTACACAAAGCAGTTTACCAGACAACTTTACACAAAGCAGTTTACCAGACAACTTTACACAAAGCAGTTTACCAGACAACTTTACACAAAGCAGTTTACCAGACAACTTTACACAAAGCAGTTCACCAGACAACTTTACAGAAAGCAGTTCACCAGACAACATTACACAAAGCAGTTCACCAGACAACTTTACACAAAGCAGTTTACCAGACAACTTTACACAAAGCAGTTTACCAGACAACTTTACACAAAGCAGTTTACCAGACAACTTTACACAAAGCAGTTTACCAGACAACTTTACACAAAGCAGTTTACCAGACAACTTTACACAAAGCAGTTTACCAGACAACTTTACACAAAGCAGTTTACCAGACAACTTTACACAAAGCAGTTTACCAGAACCTAAACAGTTGGCTCTCGATACCACTGTCAAAACTAACGCACCTTGGAATTACGAAGCGTGTTCACTACACAAAACATTAAATCCCCATGTGAGGGCGCAACATTTGAAGAAGATGATCACTTTTTCTTTTTCGCGTTTACTGGCTGTAAACTAGGGCCGAAATTTGTGATTCTTTCTCCACTTCTGCACTTTGATTTTGTAGCAGAATATACATTTTGTTCGCACATCCGTTTCACACTCTTGACTGCGAAAGAAACACCCCTGGTTAGAAGCCCTTTACGAAAGGCTTGTTGGGGGAGGGGGCGGGGTGATGCTACGCCTCTCTAAAGCAACCCTCCTTCTTTCCTCCCCTCCCCGTCCAACACCTCCCCCACCCCCTTTCACTCCAAACATAGGGTCAAGGAACACACACAGTAAAACTTTATAATTTATTTTGTTTTGCTTCAATCTGGTTTTTACTTTTAAGTTTCGAAGCAGCCACCGCTCTTCAGAGATAGGAAATAAATATTGGTGTGACCTTGCAGACAGCACAAGTTTGGTTTTTGCGAGGAAAAGTGGATATTTTCTCTAAGGTGGGCTCCTCTCTTTTAAACAGTAATAAATCATGCACGCCAATAATGCATCCTTATTAAATCCCGCTGGAATTTCTTGCAGTGCAGTGACGCTTCATAAAAAAAAAAATAACTTTATTAATATATTATTATGATTCCGCACTGTCTCTGTTGTCCCATTGGGTTATTTAATTATGTTCAAGTGCAAGAATAATTGTAGGTTTTTTTAAAACTGTTGTTTTCTCAATATGTTGTGTCCTGCCCAACACTCCCTCCCTGTTCATCTCTTGACTGAGAGATAGAACGTGATGATGTTATGCTATACCCTCTGTGATACTGGGGTACTTCATATTGGATAGGTTTTCTGGCTCTCCTCCGAACTTCATCCCCATATGATAATATGGCGGCCAAACAAATACCCTAACAGGGCCTCAGTCGAGTGTAAAATGCAGAGTGCCTGCCGATGAACAAAACGCGGCAAAACTAGGATTACCTCCGAATAACAGGCCAATATTATCGAGAGCAAACAAATACTCTATAACAGAGTCTCAGCAATATGTTAATTTCGGACCTTTTTCTGCGACTATGCTGCACCGCCGACAGCATCCCCCACGCCGCTGCACACGGCACAGGTAGGGGGCTAAATTAGATGGCTGGGACTCACAAGCAAATAAATTTAATGAAGTTGCAGGATATGCGGTGGCTGCTGCTCGTGAATCCCAGCCATCTAGTTTAGCCCTCCATCCGCGGCACAGGGGATATGCTCAGTGGTGAGTTTAATCGGAAGAACACTATCACTAACCTGCGTCGGAGCGCGTGGTCTCCTCACCCTGTCGCTATTATCGTGTCTATGTTGCGTTTCTCGAAATTGTCAACGGATAGTAATCTGAGTTTTGCCGCGATGTGTTTGTCAGAGGAAGTCTGTGTTTTACACACAACTAAGGCCCTGTTAGGGTATTTGTTTGTCTGCCATAATATGGGGACGAAGTTTGGAGGAGAGCCGGTTTTCTAGTTGCAAGGGTCAGATACTTAATTGTGTATGCACATTGTGTGTATTAAAGATCCCTCAGAAGTTGTAAAATGCAGCAAGCATGCAGATTATTCCCAAACCCAGGTTACATTCAAATTATAAAACATCCACTGAAATATTTATATCAAAGATGACTCTGGCATGCAGACATTTGAATCTTGGCTTGTGGGTTGTCGATGCACCCTCAATACAGTGATAAACCACTACTTGCAGTGGTTCTCCAGGACCAGTGCTCAAAGGGACCAGGATATATCTATCTATCTATGTGATCATCCTTGAAACAAGTGTCTTACCCGGTCCTGCCCACTGTAGATCAGTAGGCTTTTGAAGGTGAAGCACATCTGCCTGAGAGGTGAAGAACAGTTTGCATGCAGAGCCAGAATTGTTAAACAGTTATGTACACAACATTCAAGTCCTAGACCAAGACGACAATGAAGCCATGAATGAACACCCAGGACTTTCTGCCAGTGTTCACAACTGAGTCCACGCAATGGGTGGAGATTCTCCTCATGTCATCTGTGGAGGAAGACTACAGTAATTTATTGGAGTGTTTATTTGTAATCAGGGTGATCCCATACAAACCAACACATGCAGGCTGGTGGGTGCAGTGTTTGATTCTGAGATGTGTATTTTATGTTGTCATTTCTGTCTGTTCCAAGTAGCTGCCTTCTGACTTATTGACTGTGTGTTTCTGTATATTGCCTGTCATGTTTGAACGGCTTAAAATTTTTCCAAGCGTATTCTGTACCAGACTTCTTGCAAGATTTACCTCATGATGTCGAGCTGATAGACTGATGCTGAGACACTTTTGAATGTGTAAAAGCTTAGTCTTTAGATTACCTAGCAACAGCTTGGTCTATAGATTACCTAGCAACAAAGTTAGTCTGTAGATTACCTAGCAAAAGCTTAGTCTGTAGATTACCTAGCAACAAAGTTAGTCTGTAGATTACCTAGAAAAAGCTTAGTCTGTAGATTACCTAACAAAAGCTTAGTCTGTAGATTACCTAACAACAGCTTAGTCTGTAGATTACCTAGCAACAGCTTAGTCTGTAAATTATCTAACAACAGCTTAGTCTATAGTGAAGATTAAAAAAGCCAAAATCCATTTGCTTCACGATTGTGTTTTCAATTGTGGGCTCTACCTCTCAGTTGACAAGTGCAAGGGGTGGTTGTTGGTGGAGCTACGCAGTCGCAAAAGTACTGCAATGCGTGATGGGTGAACAGCCACTGCAGACAGAGATTGAACACCTTGTTAAAGTATGATTCTTCTTCTTCGTGTTCACTGGCTGTCAACTCCAGCAGAAAGCTCTGGTGATTCATCCACTTTTTGGACTTTAGAGTTTTGCATGCACATCAATCAATATTACAGATCTGGCTTATTTGCATACAGACTGTTGATTCCTTGCTCTCACTTTAGACAAATACATATGCATGCGCATGCATGTGTCCACACCCACACACACACTCTCTCTCACTCCCACTGACACACACACTCTCTCTTTCACTTACACACACACACACTCTCTCTCACACTTTTACTCACACACACTGTAAAAGTCTAGATCATGCCTGTTCAACATAGTTTATTCAAAAGTTTCAAAAATGGGGATCATCGTCGGCCCGAGGCCAGAGCCCCAGCATAGAAAGATCATTAATATAATACAATTGGCAGGTGATCTGTAGGCCACCTACTAGGCCTCTGTGGGCCAGGTGTGTCCTACAGGCCACCTACTAGGCCTCTGTGGGCCAGGTGTGTCCTACAGGCCACCTACTAGGCCTCTGTGGGCCAGGTGTGTCCTACAGGCCACCTACTAGGCCTCTGTGGGCCAGGTGTGTCCTACAGGCCACCTACTAGGCCTCTGTGGGCCAGGTGTGTCCTACAGGCCACCTACTAGGCCTCTGTGGGCCAGGTGTGTCCTACAGGCCACCTACTAGGCCTCTGTGGGTCAGGTGTGTCCTACAGGCCACCTACTAGGCCTCTGTGGGCCAGGTGTGTCCTACAGGCCACCTACTAGGCCTCTGTGGGCCAGGTGTGTCCTACAGGCCACCTACTAGGCCTCTGTGGGCCAGGTGTGTTCTACAGGCCACCTACTAGGCCTCTGTGGTCCAGGTGTGTCCTACAGGCCACCTACTAGGCCTCTGTGGGCCAGGTGTGTCCTACAGCCACCTACTAGGCCTCTGTGGGCCAGGTGTGTCCTACAGGCCACTAGTTCCTGGTCTAGAGGATGAACTGAACTGCACCAGGGTCTATCCAACTTAGCTTTGGCTTTCTCTGCAGAACCACAAACCAGCTACTGAGAGTGGCACAAAGTATGGATTTGGTAAATCCCCAGATATTCCTCTATAAATTGCACGTGAACCGAAAAACAGTCCATGAAATCAGCTTATGGCCTACAGAGTATAAGGTGACCAGCTGAAGCCACATAGATCCCCAGACTTCCTAGATATCTGGCATACACTGTTCAGTGATAGCATTATTTGATTGTGTGATAGTATTATTTGATTGTGTGATAGTATTTTTTGATTGTGTGAAAGCATTATTTGACTGTGTTGTGTTCATAATCAGCAGTAAAAAGTCCAAAGATAGCGCTGCTTGAACATGTATTGTTCATAATCTACAATAGAAAGTTCAGTGATAGTTTTATGTGATAGAATCTTGTTTATAATCTACAATAAAAATTTGAGAGATAGTTTTACCCAATTGTGTGTTGTGTTTCTAGTCTGCAATAGAAAGTTGAGTGATAGTATTACCTGACTCTTTGTTGTGCTCATAATCTTCAATAGAAAGTTCAATGGTGACTGGGTTTTTTCTTCATTTATTTGTTTATTTGCAGCTAATGGAGAACACACAATCAAAGGTGATGAGGCCTGTGTTAGTGAGGAAAGGAGAAGCATTACCAGACACTGTTATGCCCATGACAGAGACAGAAGTGTTAGATATACAGAACAAACGCATTGAGAAGTTTACGCCCAAAAGTGAAATGTAAGTTTAGTTTAGTTTATATGATTTGTAATGTAATTTTTATAGTATTCTGATTTTTAGGTGACTTACTGGTCGTTATCTGGCAGATCATTTAGAGAGTGATGCTGTGAGCAGGGGGTGCCAGAAAACCAAATGGTCCCTTGCTAGGCAGATGAAGTTCATGCAAGTTCTTAGCAAAAGCAAATGGATATCGCTTAGTGCAACAAAGTCTGGCATAAGACACCACAACGTCTAGTTTAAGAATGGAGTTGGCAGCAAACACTGCAGCCTTCCACTGGCTTGAGAATCAGCTGTACACACTAGTGGTAATTTTAACTGTCTTACTGCGCATGTTGAGAAAGTTGGAGACCAGTATGCTCTGTGAAAAAGTGGTAAGCTTGGCTTCAGAGGACCTGGGTAGTTAGTGTTCTTTGAATATTTTCTGCAGATGTTGTAAGGACCCTTTGAGAGCGAGAGAACAGTGGGGAGGCAGAGATGGGTCCTCAGGGTCTGAGGAGAATTGTGCAAGATGTGTCCAGGCGGTCTGGCTGACATTTAACACTCAATGGAAAGGCGAGATGGACATACAATCAAACTGTCATTGGTACCATCGGAACTGGAACTCTGTGCTTGTTGCTGAAGATAGGGACAGATTGCTTATGGGAATGACCTGAGTGCTGTGATATCAATTCTTGAATATACAATAAAGTATGTGATTTTAAGATTATCTGTTCAGGAACCAAGATCTTGTTTGAAAATTGACCCTTTTTTCATAAATTTGTTCAGAAACTGAATTATTCCAGAAAAGAGAGGTTCAGCAATGACGATTCACTGTAGTTAATTAGTAGTTTCCATGATTAATTAACTCCATGATTAATAAACGGCAGACCTTAGAACTCCATAACTATGAGGGAAAGTCAATAAGTAAGTCACAGATGGTTTTGGGATAGCAGGAAAATGTTGTTGGTGGTTTTTAAATATGGTTAAGTGACAGCAACATTAAACTTTATGTCTCTGTTCATTAGGTGGTGCCAGGTGTTGCATGCGCATTTGCAACATAGAAACAAAATGGCAACTTTACTACTTACGTGTACCTTCAAAGAACAAAATGCTGCTATGCGTGTGTGTTTTTTTTTTTTTTTGGGGGGGGGGGGGGGGGGGGGGGGTAGAGAACATTTATAAGGAAATGCTTTCTGTTTATGCTGACTCATGTTTATCACAATGTCCACTGTAAACCCACTTTGGCGGGAGACATTTTACGAATGACGCAGAAGTTGAATGTGTTAAGAAAATAGAGCACGCATTTCTATGCAGCACGTTTTGGAGAACTGATAAAACGATGGGACAAGTGCATCAGTGTTAGTAGAAATTATGTTAACAAAATTAAGGGACAGTGTTTGTGTAAGAATAAATGGTTTTCAGGTTGTCATCTTTAAATTTTTTAAAGAACTATTTGTGACTTATTTATTGACTTTTTCTCGAATTGTAATTAACTCTATACCCAATTAACTCTATGACTGTGGCGGGTAACTTCGCTTTAACTAGCGAATGCACTATGTGCAATTCACCGAGGGAACTACAAACATTAAATCTTAATAAAGGTTTATATTACCCCCAGCCTTGCTGGTTAAATTAGAGGATTTGGGGTTTGCCCACATCTTATTCCCTACTGTAATTAAGATTGTATATTTAAATGTTCTTAAGTTCACTGACAATGTTTACAGTTAAAAGGAAACTCCATAAAACTGTAGGAACATTAAAACTAACATTTATTAGGATTTTCAAATCAATATAAATTCAAATGATTTCTAAATGGCTGTGGATAAAATTATGGATTGGGAAAGCAACAGATGTTCCCACTTAGCTGTAGCTTAGGTCAGCTTCTGGCTAAGTCTCTGTGACACATCAGGCAGGCCGAATCTTCCAGTCCAGTCCAGACAATCGGGCATCTGCAGCTACTTATGGATTTACTTATGGATCTTCCACCTGGACTACAATCTGGAACTAGAACAATAGAACAGTCCTTATACAAACAGTCAGGAAGGTTCTAACTGGAGACAACAATACCTCGTCTTTAAACTGTTACACTACACACATATATATGGAGTAGGATAGTAACAGGTGTTCACATTCTACTGGTATAGAATGGGAATGTATACAGAACATGGTCCATAATCCTGATGGGGAAATATTTAGGAAACCAGTTTCATGAATACAGTGTAAATTGTTCTGATGTCTGCACACTAGTACTCCTTTAAAGGGTTAACATGCTTACACACAGAGACATACACAGTCATATTTCACAATATTCTCATTTTAACCACATGGGTTCACATCACAATGAATGAGAAGCAGGGAGTGAGTTTACTAAGGCCAGAAACTCATAACAGGTGCTTTGCACTATTTGAAAATAAATGGGATTGACATATCTCCATCAATATACTGGGTGATGGGATAGATGTCAAAATACAATCATAGATGACAATGGGCTTTCCATCTGTCACAGTATTAACATAAAATATACAACACTCACTCCAGTTTAAATCTAAATCCACCTGTGTGATAACATCTTAGTCAGTAGAGTTTAGAAGTTGTAAAGGTTGAAATATAATTATTACAATTGTAAGGCCACCTGCTGTAGAACTGAAATGTATTCCTAGTAATAGGGAAATATATCTACAACAATAATAATTACAAGCATGGGCCATACATCTCTTCTTCTCTGACAGTGTGAATATTAAATTCAGCCTCACTGTGTTATTCACTTTTCAAGCTCTTAAACCATTCTCAGAATTATCTGGACTAAATCTAAATTAAAGCAAGACAGTGAGTTATCAAGCTAATATCACCATGAGGTGAAAATCGACTTAGTAAGGATTAGGTATATGAGTATACACTTCATTCCTATTTTTAATTGTCTTAGCTGGAAACACAAACAGGAACTGGTTGAGATTTCACATGAGGACATAATTATCACTTAATTAATATAAGTCTAATCATTAAAAATACCAATGCATGTTTCTAGTAGCAAATAAACATTAATTAAATCATCAAATAGATCATATGTTTGCATACATGTACCTACTAGATCATAAACGTGGTTAGTGAGGATAAAGAAATTTATCATGGTTTTTAAGCCATGTGGGCATCAAATTTCAGAATTCAGCCTGTGAAATTAATTCAGAGGAATAATATCAATAGCTCAAATTACACTAATTATTATAAACTCACCCCTGGTAGGGAATTCAAACACAGGCAACAAGACAACAGAACTAACTGAACTGTGTCAATTGGGGAGAACAAAATCTTGACTCCCCCAACCGTGCCTGGAATGAAAATGGAAGTGGAGAGTCCTACCAAGGGGAAGGTTACTCTTCATTACCCCTTTCACTACCCAATCGCCTTTTAAACTTTTAACTATTTAATTATAATTTTGCTACAATAAAGCATTAAGAAAAAGGTAAGAAAATTTCTTAATTAATTAAGCCTTACTCTGCTAATTAAAAGCAATAGGAAAATGTTTAAAACTTTGGTAATAATATTATCTAAACAAAGCAATCTTTAAAAGGACAGAAACAGCTGTCCAGACCAGCTCGTCACAATGACCAATGAACTCCATTACTGATTTACTAAATCAGAGATAAACTCCATGATTATTCATGACTAATAAACTCTGTGGCTTCATGGCTAGTAAAGAATATGGTTAATTAACTCCATAACTGATAAACTCCTGAATAATTAACTCAAAAACTAATTAAACATTGACTGATAAAATGTATAAACAAACTCAGATGCTCTTTGTCTACTTACAGGAGAATATTCCAATATGGCAGCCATGTAATGGTGGCCACTACAGCCCTTTCTGCATTTGTAGTCAACACTATTTTAAGAAAGAACTTTCGGCTCGGTGGACTGAAGATGGTGATGTCATATGGAGCAAGTGTATGCGTTCCCTCAGTTTTATCAGCAGCATTGAATGAACTGTATGTTAGGCCCAAAGTGTTGCTGGGCATGGAGTCCTGTCCCACATGTTTATCTATGAAAGCTGCTGTTGTTCAGTCCCTGATGGGGTTGTGCTACCCGTTTGTAATTTCTTTTGTGACCTGCCTGACCACATCTCGGGAGTACTTCACCTTGGACATAGCAACAAACAGTAAACGAATGGGCTACTTCCGGCTGATTCGCCAAGTATCTCCATCATCCAACATTCTTCTGGCCTTAGGTCTGCTAAATATGACTGTTGGGATGGAAGTTGCCAGACGACAGATGAAGGCCTATGTACAACATTTAAGCAAACCTCCATCGGAGTATGGGAATGTGATAAATGAGTGAAAATAGATGATTGTAATATCTCATCTTTGAAATACTTTTTGATCCAGAAACAGACAACTCATGGGATCAGCAAGTCCAGCTGCCTGAAAACTTGGCAGTTTTTGATCTTGGATTTTTTACTGAAGCTGAAGGAAAAACTAAAAACAATTACAACTGAACTAGAAACATTCATTAGCCTGTGTCTACACAGAACTGAGGGACTTGAGCGGTGTTATACGGTCATCACTGTTTATTAGAGAAAATTAAACAAATTCCAGTAAATCAATACGTGAGGAATAAATACTGGCACTTGATGGAACACATTGAGAAAAACTTGATGTTAATATAGCTCGATTGTCCTTAGAGTAGAACCCACAAGCCACAGAAATAAAAGCGTAGGCTGAGGTGCCTAAGACAGCTGGGACATGGAGTCAGCTGCATGAAGTGACAAGCAATAGGACAGCTTTGTATGAGTTGGTTAATGTTTTTGGTTCTATAAGGTTCTGTACAAAAATCATTATTGTTTTCATTAAATATTGCCATAACAATTCTGTTGTGTCAAATGAATGAAAAATTAATGAACGATTTCTCTATAGCTGCAAGATTTTTTTAAGTTCACTGTTTGTTTGTTTTAGTATCCAGAAGCCATGAGTTGTTAACCCTTTGGCTCGGTAATATGGATATCGCAACCTTTCAGCCTTGATTTCATTGTAAATACCGTAAATCTGGGAGAAATGTGGCTTTTCTGCCTACCCCCGGGAGTGAACCCGGACCACAAGGAGTTCGTCACCCGGTCACCGCGCAATCCGGTTTAGCCAACTACGCTAGAGAGCCGGGCTTAAGTTCACTGTAACCAAAACTTCAATATAAGGGGACACTTGATGTGATGTTTGAGACAGAGACATGTGGGCAATAGTCAGTAACACATCTTGTGTTGCAAGGACTAAAAGAGTTCAGGTCGTTTGCTCAGGTGGTAGGTAAAGGGCAACATAACGGATGTGAATCTGGACAATTAATAAACAGGGTGAACAATATCTTGAGGCCTCTGAGAAGTGGTTTTACAGAGGAATCCTTAAAATTCTTTAGGACAGCTAAAAAGAGTAACTCAGATGTTTTGAAAGAGGCAAGTGCTCAAAGACAACTTATCACAAACATCAGAAAGAGACAGTCATTTTTTGGGGGGGTCATGTTATGAGAAGAAGAAAACTGGAACATGTTGTGACCACTGGAAAGATCTGTGAAAAGAGAAACAAAGGAAGACAGTGTTATGAGAAAATTCTTGACAGCTTTTTGTCATGGCAAGGAGGGGTGTCAGCACGAACTGATACACACAGTTGCGTATCACAGATTGTGGAGAGGCATGATCACCCCTGCCAGTCGGCAAGGCACATAATGGTGATGATTATGATAGCAAGTTTCTGTTGTACAGGACAAGCAACTGGGTGTTTGTAACTCCAGAATTTGACTGCCAGATCAAATCATCCTGAAATGGCTACTAGGAAATATAGTCTGTCATATCCCTGAGTGTCAGTGGCAGGTAGAGATTGTTTTCTTTCAGTGGTTGTTGGCACCTCTCCATCTCACCACGCGATAGCCTTCTATTGTGCTGTAAAGAGGCATGGGAATCACAGCCCATGGTGATTCTGAGTGTGACTAGCAAAACCTCCACAGTTAGAGTATAGGATTCCAAAACCATTGCTGCCATCACACAGTTTCAGTGAGCTTCTTCTCAACTGGTCATCTCTCAACCTGTCGGCAGTCATGTTTTTTTCATTATTTCTATTCCCTTCCTGATTTCTCCCATCCAATCATCATGGTCATGTCATTTTATTTCCATGAATCTACATCAATACTTGTATCATTCATGTCTCGCTTGCACACATCCTTATACAGCGAAGACAACTTAAGGCGATCTCTGATGTGGTGAATTTCTGTTGTGAACAATTGTTTGTTTATCCTCGGCAATGTTTCTTGCTTGAACTCTTATCTGGATAAGAGGAATTTCTGAAAAGAACTATTTTCTTGAGTCTCCAGTGAGTTATCCTTATCAAGACTGCATTGTATTGTAGTAGAGGTGCCTATCTGTAATATACCAAAGAGGATGTCATTAGGGACTCTTTCATTCTTCAGATGTGACCCAGCTCCCCCTAAGCCTTTGAAGACTGAGCATCGAGAAAACATTTGTAATCCCTGCTCTTTCCAATACCTTAATGTTTATTAACTTCTTCATATATGATAATGCTTAGTTTGCCAGAGTATCACAGTCAGGTCAGTATGTGACATGTTTTCCATTTTTACAATATCAGCAATATCTGTCATATATTTTAAATGTTATTGTCAGTAATAATGTTTGATTTCTCAGTGTTTTAGTCCTATTAACTCTTTCAGTCCCACACAACATTCACAGGTTCTTACCGAGAAGCCCAGCAAACACCAATTATACGTTTCTCTTTACCACCCGTTGTGCATCAGATTCTAAAACCACTGGGTCTAAAAGAGTTAAGTCATGATGTATTTGTTAAGCAATATTTGTTATTATTTTGTCAGAAAGGAATAATCAAAGATTAACACACACAGAAACAAAAATAATGGACTGTCACAAATGGTCAAAGTTCTCTCAAGAGAAATGATGCAGACGATCATGTTTGTTGGAAATCTGCTAGCTAGTATAGAGGACAATAAATGTTGATATATTTGCAACACTGGTCTTGTGTAGTTCTGGGCTATATTTCTTCTCCCTCTCCTCCTCTTTTTCTTCTGCACATTCTCATCCTCCACTCATATTCTTCTTCTTACTCTTTTTCTTCTCCTCCTCTTTTTTCTTTATCTTCTCATCCTTCAACTGCACCTCAACTCTTCTTCTTTTTACTTCTTCTTCTGCTTCTTCTTCTTTTTCTTCTTCTTCTTCTCCTGCTACATCTGCTGCTGCTTATGTATCTTAGTCAAAAGTTTCTACTTCATCATCATTTTTTTCACCGTCTTCCTTATTTATGTGTGCTCTGTTCTGAGGCTGAGCAATCAAATATTTGTTGACCGAAATGCTGACTCTAATTTTTCTATGTCTACTTTTAAAAGGATGTTAGATGTTGCGTTGTAGTTTACAAATTCTTCTTCTGCCTTTCTATCCCCTAATGGAGCATATGCCCTCAACCAACTCACGACAAGTCGTTCTTTCCTTTGCTGTTGCATGGAACCCTCCCCCATCTTTCTAACTTCTTTCTCCAGCTCTCTTCCTTGTGTGTTTTTTGGCCTTCCTTTATTCCTATGCCCCTGTAGTTTTAGTTTATAGCTAGAGTGTGATATCTACACCTGTCAGCCCAACACATCTGATTTCATGGACTGCTACATTAGTTGCCTGTTGTGACATGCTTGTTAGGGAGTTGTCTGTTGTGACATGCTTGTTAGGGAGTTGTCTGTTGTGGCAGGCTTGTTAGGGAGTTGTCTGTTGTGGACTTGCTTGTTAGGGAGTTGTCTGTTGTGACATGCTTGTGTTAGGGAGTTGTCTGTTGTGACATGCTTGTTAGGGAGTTGTCTGTTGTGGCAGGCTTGTTAGGGAGTGACAGGCTTGTTAGGGAGTTCTGTTGTGACTTGCTTGTTAGGGAGTTGTCTGTTGTGACATGCTTGTTAGGGAGTTGTCTGTTGTGACATGCTTGTTAGGGAGTTGTCTGTTGTGGCAGGCTTGTTAGGGAGTTGTCTGTTGTGACTTGCTTGTTAGGGAGTTGTCTGTTGTGACATGCTTGTTAGGGAGTTGTCTGTTGTGACATGCTTGTTAGGGAGTTGTCTGTTGTGACATGCTTGTTAGGGAGTTGCCTGTTGTGACATGCTTGTTAGGGAGTTACCTGTTGTGGCATGCTTGTTAGGGAGTTGTCTGTTGTGACATGCTTGTTAGGGAGTTGCCTGTTGTCACATGCTTGTTAGGGAGTTGTCTGTTGTGACATGCTTGTTAGGGCGGCATGTGATCTGTTGTGTCCCTACAGTTGGACCCGTAATCCCACAAGAGGAACATGCCGACCAGAGTATCAGTGCCCAAAAAAAAATCTATCATCATCATGAAGACTGCCAGTAAACAGACAGTAATGGTTGGAGGGCCTATGCTCCATTGGGGGATAGAAAGGCAGAAAACAGAAGAAGAATGGTTTGTTATTTCACTTGACTGCCAGAATCACAGTTTGGGATTTATACATTTGCCTCTCTCATTCCCTACATCAAGACATCCATGTATTTATATGTGTGTCACATTCGCCAGCTGTCACAAAGTTGTCACGTAGTTTTCTCTTTATAATACAGAAATAATACCTTATTTTTCTGATGATGTGGAAGTTACTAGGACTAATATGTGAAAGATTGCAGAAGAGTAACAACACAGTGAATAGTTGAAAAATGTCCTGATTTCTGGACACAAATCAACTGTCAACGACTTGCTGCCTGCATCTGACGACAATCAACATTTTTGGGTCACCTATTTGAGGTTTAAACAACGGATCAACATCATGGCACTCGGATAATAACCCATAAGTTCTCCATTCTTCTTCTTACTCAAGTCTTAAGTCCGAAGAAGCTCAGCACAGTGCACAAGCTCTGTAGCACCGGCGAGGATCCTGAAATACTTTGGGTAGATTTTTAACTCCAAATTTTGCCCAGGCAGCCACGTTAAGCTATTGTTTTTGATTTCCAACTGCCAAAGGATTTTTTACGCGTGCGCAACGGTGCACACAGGTGTCCGATCTCACCACCCAGAGACCAGGGCTGAATTACTAGAAGTCCAAGTCCTCGTGAAAAAATTCCCAGCCCTTACCCGGGATTGAACCCGGCACCTCTAGCACTCAAGGGGGACACAATGCCTCGAGACCACACAGCCCCCCCCCCCCCCCCCCCCCATCCCACATCCCTTTTGGTCACGCAATCATGGGGAAGTACACACATCAGACTAAGTATTCCACTCATCTGCATTAAACGAACTACTCTTTGCTGACAACCAGAACTTGTTCTACAGTGAAACAGATCGACTGCAAGACCACATT